TGGAAGGATCACCTGAGCATAGCAGGTGGAGGCTGCCGTGGCCGTGAGCGTACCACTGCACTCCAGCCTGGGTGATAGAGTGAGACTCCGATTTAAAAAAAATCTTTAGGTTCTCTTCCTGCTCTAAAATCAGATATTTCAAATAGTTAAATTGCAAAATTTGCCAGTCATCTGTATTGAATTAAAAAAGTGATGTTTTGAGTCATAATTGCACTGTATCATCCAGGTTGGAGTACAGCGGCATGATCACTGTTCACAGCAGCCTCAACCTCGGGTCCACCTCAGTCTCACCCGAGTAGCTGGGACTACAGGTGTGCACCATCATGCACAGCTAATTTTATTTTTTGTAGAAATGAGGTCTCACTATGTTGCCTAGACTGGTCTTGAACTCCTGTGCTCAAGCAATACTTCTACCTCAACCACCCAAAGTGCTGGGATTATAGGTGTGAGCCATGTTCACATGCCCTGAAGTTTTAAATTTTAATTGTTTAATTCCCAGTAGGGATATTTAATGCAAAATGTAAACATAAGTATCTCCTGTTATAAAACTAAGTGGTGAAACAAATTCAAGCAAATAAGATGCTTTAAAAAAAAACAATCCCTTGCTGGGCACAGTGGCAGGGTCTGGAGTCCCAGATACTCGAGGGGCGGAACATTGCTTGAGGCCAGAAGTTTGAGCCTTGCCTGGGCAACATATTGAGTCCCTGTCCTTATTAAAAAAAAAAAAAAATCCCATAGGTGGAAGAACAAAATTACATATGGATAAGGAATAATAAATATCCAAGTTAATTAACCAGGATTTTAAGAATATATGAAAGCCAATCTGCACAGCCAGCAAATGTAAAAATTAGAGTAGATCCCTGAAGAAAATCAGGCAGAAAAGCAAACACATCTTTACATAGAGCTAGTATAAGGGCGCTTAAAGAAGAAAAAGGACAGGCATTCTACCAGTAGTATAACAAATGAAGAAATGGTGCAGGAGATTTTGGTGACAAGTTGTGGGAAAAGCATTAAGCTGTGAAGGAAGGCCCTTCCAGGAGAAAATGAATCTCAGCCTAGGGGTAGAGGGAAAGAAGACCTCTCTACCATCAGCCAAGTCACTGAAGAACAATTTACATAAACATAATCATGACAGATGTACTTGAGGGACTTGCAATTAAATATAAGCATCACTGGACTCACTTCCAATTCACTTAAAAAATATTAGAAACAAATCTTAAGGAAAGGTCATTCAAGGAAACCAAGGAATGGAACTAATAAAAACCAACTTCCACTTATATTACTTGGTATTAATCAGACCATAATTAGGTTTTGATGTCTAGTTAGTATTCTATATTTGTCTTCTAAAAATAGTATTTATATGTTAATTATGTAGAACATTTGTAAGCTATAAGAAAAACACATACCTAGGTGTGTCTATGTCAGCATCTTGATACAAATATTGATATTTTTGTAGTATATATTCCCATTTTTTCATATGTAGTCTGTATGAATTTGCAAGCATAAGTTTAGGTGAACAAATTTATTTTGGGCAGAATTTTGGCTCCTATGATCTTCATCCTCTGGTGCAATGTTTGTAAATATGTTACTTTACACAGCAAAAGGAAATTAAGGTTGCTAGTCATTTGACTTTAAAATAGGGAGAGTATCCTGGATTATTTGGGTGGAAATGGAAGTGGAAAAGAAAGGTGGAGGGTTGGTAGGAGAGATGTGTGAGAAAAGGAGGCAAGAAAGATTCAAAATCATGAGGAACTTTTAGCCCGCTATGGCTGGCTTTGCAAATGGAGGAAGGGAATCATGAGCCAAAGAACATGGGTGACCTCTAGAAGCTGGGAACAGCCCTCAGCCAGCAGCTAGCAAGAAAATAACAACCACAAAGAACTGAATTCTGCCAACACCCAAATGTGCAAGAAAATGATTCTCCCTTTGGGCCTCCAAAGGAATTCAGCCTGCCAACACCTAGATTTCAGTGCTGGGAGATATGTCAGCTTTCTGACATGCTTTTGAGCCCCTAAATTTGTGGTAATTTTTTTTTTTTTTTTTGAGTTGGAGTCTCACTCAGTAGCCCAGACTGGAGTACAGTGGCCGCTCCTGGCCACCGCAGCCTCGACCTGCTGGGCTCCGGTGATCCTTCCGCCTCAGCCTTCCAAGTAGCTGGAACTACAGGCGCGCGCTACGACGCCTGGCTACTTTTTTGATTTATTGTAGAGATGAGGTCTCGCCAAGTTGCCCAGGTGGGTCTCGAATCCGCAGGCTCAGGCAATTCATTCACCTTGGCCTCCCAAAGCGCGGGATTACAGGCTGAGCCACAGAGCCCGGCCAATTTGTGGCAATTTGTTCCACACCGATAGAAAATGAATACAGCAAAATATGTCATAAGTTTATTTCATTTAAATCAAAGTTTATCTAATACCAAATCTTCATTCTGCTGGACTGGCAAGACATTCAACCTTACATTATTGACACCCTTTCCCCTACCAGTGACATGGTATCTCTCCCTCCCCCCACAATACCAGGGAGTAGTACTGAGATTGTCTTCGGTTTTTACCATCCAAATTCCCCGAGGCAAAGAAGCATAAAGGTCTGGTTTTCTACTAGGAGTTGGGAGATAAAACATAAATTAACAGATTGTCTTGCCACTGGTAAACTGGTTATATCCCTTAAAGAATACAACCAGAAAATGGCATTTCATGGCTACTGGGTAAAGGTAATTATTTAGCTCAAGGGGGAGTGAGACATGACTGCTTGCATTCCTCAGATAAAAAGTTTTTTTCTTGTTACCACTCATCTGCCCTCATACCACACAGTTGGGTGTCCAGAGGGACCATATATAGCTTAAGAGCACATACTACCGCCTGAAATTAGAGATGAGCAGTTAGCTCCCTTTGGTTTAAAGATAGTCACATAAGAATTTAAGGTTGGGCTCAACTACTGACTGTAATCCCAGCATTCTGGGAGGCGAAAGTGGGAGGATAGCATGAGTCCAGAAGTTTGACACCAGCCAGGGCAACACAGTGAGATCTTTTCTCTACAAAAAGCAAAACAGAACAAAAATTAGCTGGGTGTGGAGGCACATACCTCTACTCCCAGCTATCAGGAGAATGATGCAGGAGGATCACCTGAGCCCAGGAGTTGGAGGCTGTGGTGAGCTGTGATTATGCCACTGTGCTTCAGCCTGGGCAACAGAGCGATACCCTGATGGTGTGTATGGCAGAGGGCTAGATATGGCAAAAGTCATGGAGGTGAAACAGTTATGAATTAAGAAAGGTGGATTTATTAAAGGGAAGATGCATTGTGAAGGGCACAATGGGCAGGAGAGTAGTGAGAGAGAGTTTGCTGTCTGTTTGCAAAGCGAGAAAGAGGCTGGAGGGGTGTTTTATGGGGTTTAGAGGGTGGGAAATTGTCTTCAGGGGAAGTCTGCAAAATAAATTGCCAGAGGTTTGTGAAACTGATTGTGGTGTTTTGTTTCTTTAAGAAAGGATTAATTAGCAGCAATAGTTGACAGTTTTTTGTTTACTGCAAATGTTTTATTGCTGGCTAACCACCTTTGTGACCCTTGCTCTTATCAGATTTCTTTGTAACATTTGTAAAATCTCATCCTGAGATTTTCTTTCTCAATATAATTTACCCAGTTGATGCTGGCCTACTTGGGCTTCATAGTCCTTCACACCTGACTCAAAAAAGAAAAAAAAAATTAATTTTGGCACCCAAAGACTCAGTTTTCCAACCTAAATCTGTAGCCAAGATGAATTTTCTGATTCATCTCCCTTCCTACAGTTTCTGGATTTTGTTTAGCTTCCAATCCCAAATGGCATAAGTGCCAGTTCTTTCTGTCACACTACATCTATTACTAGGTGGGTGTTTTAGCATTTTTTCTATCCCTCACTTAGGGTACTCCAAACAAAACAAAACAAAAAGGCGTGCGGCTTCCTGGGGAAAAGAATACAGGATAGTTGAAAACAACAGCCTTGTATTCTATTCACAAAACTGATTTCAAGATTACTGAAAAATCTAATAGTGAAATAAACACTTTCTTTATGAAATACAATATCGCTTTATTACCCTGTGTGAGGTCTACTTTGCTTCATATTTAATCCATCACAGCAATACATCAAGATAATTGTTACTACAAAACTTAACTCACATGATTGATGAAAATCAAGATTAATTCTGTTTAAGTGTTGTGAACTGGTAGAAGTAACATAAAGCATTAATAAATAAAAATAAATCAGGACCTATTTTGAGCAAGTAGCATTTCTGACTTCATCCTAATGCAGACTTCATTTCGGCTTTAAAAAAACAACTGAGCTATTGGGTTATACTGCTGTTATCCAGTAGCTATATATACTTGAGCAACGTGGTTACCTTTCTAGGGCTTGTTTTTTCAAACATAAAACCTATATGTACCTCAGCCTAGCTCTTCGACTGCCTCCTGATTCCCGGGGGCTGTGGATAATTTAAAAATCTCATTTAACAAGTATTTGGTGTCTAGTGTAAAATAGTATGCTTGATGCCAAGAAGAAATACCAAAGAAGTACAAGACACAGGACACAGGTTCCTGCCCTTGCAGAGCAAGAAGTTCCCGTAGTTAAGCAGACCGGCCGTGAGGGCAGTTTTCAGTGGGCACGATCTCTCTTTTGTTGGCTTTTAAAAACCAAGGACATCAACTGCTGCAACTGCTATGCACGCACGCTCACAGAAACCCAGCAAATTAGTAAACTGCCATCCCAAGGCGTAAAATGCAGAATTCGATCTTATTTTCGCTTTTAAAGGGGCTGAATCAAGCGCGTTAAATCCGGTTCCTAGTACTGGGATGCCGTCACAGATGCTACCTAATCTCACCTGCACCCCAGCACCGCCCACACTTTCTTTCCGCGTTCCAGGTGAGAAGCGCCCCTGGGCACGGACCCGTAGGCTCCTTCCTTTCCCGCAGCAGGGCGGGGCTCGGGCCTGGGCTCCAGAGACCCGCCCCCCGTACGTGGCGTGCGTACGTGGCACTGCGCGGCGCGGGCCGGTTTCTCCAGCGGGTGGCGCCCCCCGGCGGCAGCGGGCCTTCAATGCGACGGCCTGGCCGGAGTGCCTGCCATGGAGCCGCAGAAAGAGGCGCGAACACTCTGGGAGCCCGTCACGCGGCCGCCTGGGGGCTCAAGGTCTCAGACGCCGAACGAGGAGGAGCGGCGGGAGGGCGGTGAGGCGCCGGCGGCGGCAGCTCTGGGCGCAGAGGCCGACCACGCCAGCGCGCACGGGCTGTGGGAGCTGCCAGTGGAGCCGGCGGAGCGGAGGCCCGAGTGCGGCCGCTGCAGGTGACCGCGAGGCCGGGAGCGGGGACTGCGGCCGGCGCGGCCTTCGGAGGCGGCTGCGGCGCCCCCTGGCGGGGAGGCGGCGGCTCGAGCGGCTCTGCGCTCGGGGCGGCGGGGTCAGCGGGTGGACCTTGGATCCACTGGGAGACGCCTGGTGCAGCTCGTTAGTGAGAAGCCGTGTATCTAGGGTCATGCTTATTTAACCCTACTCCCTGCAAGGCGTGGAGGGTGTCGTGGGATGAGCAGACATAAGTTCTGTTTTCCAGAAACTTAGCGAGTCTGATGCGGGAAGTAAGGCGTAATGAGAATAATACTTGGGATAGTTGCACTTTCAAGCTTCAGCTGCATATTCATCTCGCAATAAGAAGACATAAAGTGGATTGGAGGAGAGAGACAAAGCAGGGCAGTTACTGCAGTCGTTAAGATTGTATTCAGAATTCTGAATTCAATAAGTAGAAACACTTATTGAGCACCCACTCTATGCCAGACACTGAGCTAGATCCAGGGAATGAATGCAGCGGTGAATAAGGCACTTATTAAGAAGGAATTGGGGGCACTTACAGGCTAATTAAGAGACAGTTTATTCAGCAAGCAGTAAGAAGGATAACTAACATTGAATGCTTGCAATATGCTCAAATGTTTTAAGTATTTTGTGGGATACCTCAGTGTGCTGGTGTTCTTCAGCTTGTGAGATTTGCTTCGACTGTTTGTTTAATCTCATGCAGTTCAGATACACCACTGTCTTTACCTCCTGGGTGTGCAGGGGGGTTATCGAAGGTCTCCAGCTGTTGTATATCTCTCTGCTGCCCTTTGCAATGTGATTATTAGATAGTGCCTCTACTTCCTCACCTTGGAATCACTCTTCAGCTTGCTATCAGATCCTACAGTGCCCTGAAATGGCTGTCACCAAAGTCAACAATCACCTTCATGAGATGAAATCCAGTGGATCTTTTTCTGTTTACATTTACCAGATCTTCTGGCAGCATTCCTTAGTTAAATCCTCATTTTTCGAAACACTTCCTTTCTTTGGTTTCCCTTTGATTAATTGGACTTCTCCATCCTAGTCCTTCCTTCATCTGTTCTGCCCTAACTCCAGATGTTGGGTTTCTTCAAGTCTTGATTCTAGGTTCTCTTCTCTTCTATCCCTGCAAACTTCCCAGTTTTCATGGTAAAATTTTCATGGTGATCTTACCAGTTTTCATGGTAAATTATCACCTATTCTCCAGTTTCTTTAGCCCAGACTTGTCTCCTGAGCACCAGACCTGTGCATTCATTTATCAAGTGTTTATTGAATACTTGCTAATAACTGGCAATACAGTGAAGTCTATGTCTTTGTGGAGTATTTATCCTGGGGATACGGTTAATAAACCAGCAAACAAGCAACCAAATATGCAATTACAGACTGGAAAAAAAAGCAGTGAAGGAAAGGAATGGGATGCTATGATAGAAAAATAGCTTGATGGTGTCAGGAAGATAAGAAGAATCCAGCTAGGAGAAAAACATTCCAAGAAAGGGAACAGAAGGAGAGCGTGTGGTTGAATGTCTTTAACACTTGAGTACGTGGAGGAATATCTTACTTTGGACATTTTGGCCTTTTCCCGGGGCTGGATTGTAAGACCTCAGAGGATAGGATCTTGAATGTAAAGCTGTCATTGTATTTTCTAGATGTAATGCGTATAGTTGACACTCAGTAAACATTTGAGGAGGATGGAAAATTTGTGTCTAGAAGGGACTGTGAATTTGAACATAAGGATGTGTGAATATATTCATTTAAAAAAGTTGTCTAAAGGAGTTAGGAGATAACATTTAAAAGTGTTTGGAGGGGTACTGGACATGGTGGCTCACACCTGTAATGCCAGCACTTTGGGAGGTGGAGCGAGAGGATTGCCTGAACCCAGGGGTTCGAGACCAGCCTGGACAACTTGGTGAGATCTTGTCTTTACAATAAATCAAAAAATTAGCCGGGCATGGTGATGCACACCTATAATTCTGGCTCCTTGGAAGGCTGAGGCGGAAGGATCACCTGAGCCCAGCAGGTCTAGGCTGCTATGGCTATGAGTGTGCCACTGCACTCCAGCCTGGGCTGTGACAGAGTGAGACTCCTACTCAAAAAAGAAAAAAAAAAAAAAAGGAAAAAAAAAATATATTTGGAGGGGTTTCAATAGGATGCTGTAAGAAGTGTTTCAAATATATTAAGTCCAAGGCTAAATTTCTATGCTAGCTTTATTATGTAGTTTTTGGTATATTTAGAACTTTTAATTATAAATTCTATATATAGTTTAATGATTAATCTTCTATGTTTAGCAGAGATTTATACTTTTTCTTATATTTTTTCTTTTCTTTTTTTTGAGTCAGGGGTCTTAACTCTGTTTCCCTGGCTGGAGTACAGTGGCATGATTGTGGCTCACCTCAGCTTCAACTTCCTGGGTTCAGGTGATCCTTTCACCTCAGCCCCCTGAGTAGCTGGGACTACAGGTGTGTGTGCCACCATTCCTGGCTAATTTTTAAAAATTTTAAAAATTTAAAAAATTTTAAAGATGTAGGGTACAATTCAGGGTTAGGTATACAAATGGTCATTATGACCACTACACTACGGAAACCAAGCGCTTGGTGGCTCAGCCTGTAATCCTGCGCCTTTGGGAGGCTGAGGTGAGTGGATTGCC